TTATTTATTTTTTATTTTATTTATTTATTTATTTTCTTTTTGAAACGTACAGGTTTGGAATATTTTAAAATCCTTATGTTCATTTTTTTTTTATTATTATTTATTTATTTTTTTTTTATTTTCAATGAAAAAAATGTGATCGTTAATGGTACAATGTAAACCTGTAAACATATGATTACTTATACAGAATTTTACTGTATTATAGGCCTAGTCTAGGACTAGGCCTCCTACTATAGTATAGAGGCCTATTCTAAGACCCTGATGCAAATCCCAGCCCACATAAGCCTAGCTCGTGATTGCGGTACCCTGACAATTAAACATTAGCAGACGCACTGGGAAGCGTTGTTCACAGCATTGGACTGCAGCGAAAGTTGATTCCCCCATCGTTAATGGAACAGGCCCACGTCATGCTTGGCTGATTAGTTTCGATTTACATTTTGCAAGTCTAGTGCCATACGCAGCAAAAGTCCATGTCTAGTGTTGTTGTAAAATGTATTTCAAACCAGTCATGCTTTGCTGGTTTTTTGATTTACGTTTTGGAACAGAATTTGGAGAGGGCGTTTGGTCAAGTCAGACCTACGTTTTGAATTTTAATTACATTTAAAATAAATTAGAACTACATTTTGGAAAATTTGAACTACGTTTTGAAAAAAATTAGAACTTAATTTTGGAAAAGTAGATCTACATTTTGAGAAATTTTCGCCTACGTTTTGATAAATTAGACATTGAATTTTGCAATTACATTTTGATTTTAACATGGGCTTTTGCTGCGTATGGCTCCCTATAGTTTTTTAGCTATTTTTTACACAAGAATAAGCAGGACCTTAACAATTTAAATGACTCTAAAGCTCACCCCTTGGATCGTGACCAGCGCTTGAAAATGTCTTGCTTGTAACTTGGTTAAACTTTCACGAATGTTTAATTCATGTCGGGTGATTAGTTTTTGAAATATCTTGTCTAGGACAAATTCCTTTAAATGGTCCTCACATCCACACCTTACTCCGGACAGTCACCAAAAATTAATCAATTCTTCAGTGAGTTATACATAACACTCCCTGTTATTTTCAATTATGTCTGTGGAGCCGTTTTTTAAATATTTTGTACACAAGAAAAAAAATTAAAATAGCAAAGCGTTACACACACACACACACACCCACACCAACATCACAAAACGAAAACATTTATCTCCTGGCGGAGATAATAATAATAATAATAATATAGTAATTCGTTAATATTGACCTTTGAACCAGTTGTTCTTTATTATACAGACTCAATTATACAGACCAATTATTCAAAACAATTGAGTCCATATCCACACCTCTGACCTATATGCACACCCTTTGTGCCCTATAATATAAACATCCCAATATCCAATCCACCTATCCACGGCAGTCCGTAGAGCCCCCGACCAATAGTGGCCTCAATAGGTCCGATCTCAGAATATAAACTTCCTCTGCCCAATAACAAACCTCCTGTGCCCTATATGACCACGATTTTGCCCCTACATACAGGAATGGATGTATCCCCCCCCCTACGTTTTGCCACTAAATTTTAAAAATTTCAATGCAGATCAATGCTATATGTGCTTCTCACTTACCTATTCTGAAACTCTTATGCCCCCCACCCACCGTTTGAAATATTCTGGATCTGTTGTCCATATATCAAAACCCCCTGTGCCTTGTATCCAAACCTGTTTTTATTATCATTGCAGAGCAGCAAGTGTCGGATCATGATAACAAACATTTGATATTGTGGGAATCATCGAACGGAGAGAACTACATAACAGGGAAGCGACAGGAACAAGAAAAAGACGTCAGTGAAAGAGTCAGATATTTGCTTGAAAAGTATGCATCTCTATTTTTTCCAGAATCCCTAAAATGTTAGATTTAGATGTCATGGGACTTCAAGTTTCCAAACAGTATGGTGACATCATTTGCAGGTCTAACAATGGTGCTGGTTTCCTCGCCCAAGATCAGTTGGTAGAATTGTTGTACTCATATAAGAACTTCCACCCGGTGTACACATCTGGCTTGTGCATTTTAAGAGGCCATTGCATTTTACGGAAGAGTAGGGGGTTACCGATCATGCTCGTGTTCATTTCAACCCTTGTCGTTTGTGGAAGGATGGATGTTAACATACAGCTACTACTGTATAAAGCACCTCTCTACGGTCGTTAGATTCACAGGCCACGCCCATATGCAATTATTATGCATATCTAACTCACTTATACGGGGCTCACACTTAATACCCATGCATAGTCTAACGGTATGATACTCACTTTGAAAGCGAGAAGATGCTAGTTCGAATCCGTTGAGAGCTATGCTACACAATGTAACACCATGTTTTTTATTCGAACACTGTACCATGTGTGTGGTACGAAACTAAGTAGTAATAAAATGTCTAATCAAAGCTACTGTTGAACCTCGCTTTTTATTTATTTATATCCGCTCTGGTCCACCATTGAGCACTCTGCTTTTAATACTTGCGATAGTTTTCTTCAGTTTTATATATATATATATATATATATATATATATATATATACATATATATAATAACAATAACAATAATAATAATAATAATAATAATAATAATAATAATAATAATAATAGTGTTCTTTTTCTTTTTGCCAATTTCAGGCTCAAAACATCCGATTCTACCTAATATATCTGATAAGTATCAGGTTTATGATGCCGTCACCAAACCTGATTCGGGGATTCTAATTATGATTATTGACTGGTGCTGTCACCTTTCACATGAAGATTCAAAATGTTCCCCATCATAATTAATGAATAATGTTCATTAGGAACAGTAACAATGTGTAACAATGGGATGAAGACCTAAAACTCCCATATAGTGGTGGTGCCAGCAGATGTCCAAGGGTGTTCTGTTGGTGATTGAGGTGGAATGGAATTGGTCATTTCACCAGGAACCTTTGACCCCATCGGGAATTTGGACCCTTTGTCAGAGAATTTCTGGTGCTGCCACTACTCCCAACTCCTGAGTGGTGGAGATAGACAAATGCTGTATTAAAATCTTGAGTAGACAGATGATATGGATGGCGTGGAATTTGCAACACCCCCGCCTATGGTACAAATACTAATGAACAAACTACAAACACTCCTTGTTAACTTATAAAAGATCTTGATATTATCTCAGTTGAGATTAAGTTAGGTGACGGATGAATGTACTTTTATTTTGTAGAAGATGATTTCATTGCTGATGAAGAAGTGTACAATATGACGACAACTTTAGAAGAGATTAAAATTATGATCCACAAGAAAGCACGGCAGAGTCCTTATCCTGGTACCACCATTCGTAGGGCTGATGTCCCAGATGCCAAAGTTTCCTGGGAGGTAAATTTGTCTCTCCATATATATCCATTGGCGTACAATTAATAAGCAACCAAAATTGAAGCTATACTTTATTTTACATGGAAATGTATTTTGTAGAAATGGTTTGGCGCATTTGGAACGGCTTGGTTTCCCAACCTCGAGGTCGCAGTTTTAATCCCACGCTGTGTCCTTGAGCAAGGCACTTTATCTGCATTGCTTCTCTCCACCCAGAAATAGATAGGTAGGGTTACATTGCAAAATGCGGTGATTAGCTGCAAAGCGTTTAATCCAGTGACCGGGGGTAATGAAAATGTGAAGCGCATAGAGAGGGCTTATCGTAATGCGTTATATAAGTCTATCAATATTCTACCGTTTTGGAGTTGTACGCATGGTCGGCCATGCGAATAAGCTCGGCCATTATTATTATTATTATTATTATTATTACGCCTCCCTGTTTCACACCTACAAAAGGAGTGTCGAGGATGGTAATTTATTTAAAATATAACAATGATATTGATTCTACTATTTGAATTTGCATAAGGTTATAAATAGATGCAGAAAATATATGTCATTTGTATTTTATTTTGCATAGATTCTGTTATTGTTTTCATCAATTAAAAGTTTTTTTTCCGTTTTTAACATAAATTATACTTTGATTTGACATTGTTTTTCCAGATTTGTCTACAGACAAATTATAAGCCTATAATCCAATGTATATTAACTTATATTTAAAAATGTTGAAAGAAAAGCACTCCTTTAACTGAGATGGTAATTTTGTTTTCATTCTTCATATTTGTGTAATTGTTTATACTTAAAGGTTGACTTTCCAAGTTATGCGCCAAAACTGTATACACACCAATCTGTTCTTGATAAGCCTCACTGGGCAGATATTGACGTGATGGCCATGTCTAAGGATAAACGACCCATGTTACAATTTAACAATGAAGATGTACATTGCAAGGTGGATCGTAGAAGTCATGTCCAACAATATGTTGTTAAAGATGGACTGCCATTGTAAGTAATTAACTATTTGTTTTAATTTATATTTCATTATCATCATTAGAAACCGTCAATCTAATTAAATGTATTTTTTTTAAATTTATTCAGTAGTTTCCATGCTTAAGTTAATAGTTTGTATTCAACAGCTATTCCTCTACCTAATGAAGTAGAGCAGATTTTTGATAAATTTTGTGAACGTTATACTAAGAGAGCTTGGAAAAAAAGCAGACATTAAACATCTTTAATCCTTATAGGAGATTAAGATCTGTATTGCTGAGCAGTATGTAATTGTTTATTAATGTAGTTTTTTTATTATGCAATTTTATTAATTTCAAACTTAAGTTTTAATTGTTATTTGTTTTTGAGAAAGGAGAAAGCTCCTTGAACTTTCTTGGTTTCCAAGGGCTATCTGCTCTATCATTTGATTTTAGTGTTTTTTAATTGTATTTAGTTAAGAGTTCATATGTGTGTATTTATGTATATTTATATATGCATATTTATCCTTTTTATGTATTTGTTTAGTTAAGTTTGTACCTTTTTATTTACAAACGTACCGATTGTCATTGAGTGCCACTGATCTAAAGGTGTAAGTTCAAATAAATAAATAAATAAAAATAAATGTTACTGCATAATGATAAAGTTAATTTCATTTTCAAGGAACAATGCATCTTTAGAACATAGGCCTATGTATACGTGTATAATATATAAAAAATATTAAGCATTTTTTCAAGTTACTTCGGACACTATAGAAAATAGGAACCTTAAAACCTACTATTTCTTTCATAAGATTTATTTTAGGTAATAATGACTCCTTTAGCTTCCTTTATTGTGTATTGTATTCGGCTAAGGCTATCGGCAGTGCAAAAAAGCTGCTGTTTTCTATTGGCACTGCCGCAGTGCGAAGCAAATGGATGTTTTGATCGATAAATGACATTATTGTATCAATAATTGATTAGGTCTAAAATAATAATGATAATACCAGTAATAATAACAGTACTCGAATAATACTTGAATAATGAATTAATCATACTTAAATAAGCCTAATACTTTATAGGCCTATTTACGATAGTTTGATTAATGAGATAAAATGAATCAGCATATATTAAATCAACGTGCAAAACCTGTATTTTAAATAACAATTTTATCTCTTTCATTCTGTTTAAAAAAGATAATCATATAAATTATAAGTTTTCTATGATAATTTTGTCCACATAATTCATGTTTTTAATGTTATGGCTTATAAATAATATAACTGTAATAAAAATAATAATAATAACAATAATAACAATAATAATATTAATAATAATAATAATAAAATAATAATAACAATAATAATAATAATAATAATGATAATAATAATAGTAATAGTAATAGTAGTAGTAGTAGTAGTAGTAGTAGTAGTAGTAGTAGTAGTAGTAGTAGTAGTAGTAGTAGTAGTAGTAGTAGTAGTAGTAGTAGTAGTAGTAGTAGTAGTAGTAGTAACGGTGCTCGTATAGTAATAATATTGTGGATTAATAATAATACTTTAATAGGCTTATTTACAATAGTTTGATTAATAAGATAATAATGAATCAGCATATTAAATCAACTTACGTCTATGATAAACTTGTATTTTAGATAACAATTTTATCTATTTTATTCTGCTTAAAAAAAATAATCTTATAAATTGAAAGTTTATTTTCTGTGATAATTTTGTCCACATAATTCATGTTTTCAATGTTATACTATGGCTTATAAATAATATATAAAATAATAATAGGCCCTAATAATAATACCAGTAATAACAGTGCTCGATTAATACTTTAATAATGAATTAATAATACTTTAATAATGCCTTATATAGTAGGTATTTCGATAGTTTGATTAATGAGATATTTGTTGATCATAATTTATAGAAATATAATAAGTAAAATATGTTTTTTAAATAAATATGTTAGGCCTATCTATTTTATTGTTTAAAAAAATGATCTTATAAATGTTAAGTTTTATTGTAAATCCTATGATAATTTAATCCACATAATTTTTATATTCAATTATATAAGCATTTAAACAATTCAGTGGGCCTAATGCTGGATTTAAATGTAAGAAATAAACCCAAAACATCGCCAATGTGTGTGTATGCAAATGCTAATACCATAGTGTGCTCTGTTTCAAGAGCGGTGCGTATTTTAGGACTAAAATAAAAACACAATTTTTGTACATTTCGTAACCATCTCAGTAACCACTACAACGATTTTATGGGTGCAATGGTTATCAGAGGCTTAATTTATTGTGAAAACAATGAACTGTACGTTGTTATAAGAAGCGTGTAAACCTATTAGGCCGACATTCTTACAAACTCAAAGTGCACAATTTAGTAGTTTTGTGTATTATTAAGACCCGTATATACATTCCTGATGATGACATATTTAATGTCGAAATATTGAATCCCGACACGATGGCGTGCATTTCGATACTTGGAGTATATGTATACTCTCGTATACTACGGTAGTGTTTAATAATTATCTGCATACATAGAGTCCTGGTTTTCCTAATTTCAAACAATTGTAGTCAATTGAATTTCATATAACGCTATTAAATAATAATTATACAGCCTTTGACACTGATAGGTCTATCTATTTCGATTTATTGAAGTAGTGTTACCAAACACTGATGTAACGTTGACGCAATCTCACCATGACGTCATAAGTAAATCACCTTTATGTTTGTGAAATCAAAATGCTAACTAATATTTTTTGTGCTTCATATCTCCCTAGTCCTGTTTGATCGTAAAACACTACTCACAAAAGAAACAACGGAAACAAATTGTGACTGTAGGAAACAGCGCAGTCTGTCCCATAGAAGGAGAGTGTTTAACAAAACGAGTGAAATATCAAGCCACCTGTTTAGATTACGACAACCAAACACAAAAAAATATCAGGCCTATGTTGGATAACCGATCACATGTTCAAAACAACAAGATATAACGGCCTTTTTTTTAAAGAATATAATGCATGGAAAGGTGCATGAATAGCAATGCCCTGCATTGCGATCCTTAGTCTGTGATGATCGATTTAAACCAAAGGAAAAATTAAAGTGAGATATTAATGTTGTTAATGGCACAATGCTGTTAACCTGCGCTTGGCGACCTTGCTATGACTGTTCCAGTGAAATGATAAGAGCAGATCGCAAATATCAATTATTCGCGATTATTCGATAGAGGAAGCTACATCAACACCTCTAGTAATTATGGATTATTACGAACGAATGAATCAAACTAGATTTACAGATTTACATTTTAAGGGTGTGTGTAATCCTTCTGATACATTGGATAACGCATTCTTTCATCAGTGATTATGTTTTGAGATGACTGGTAATAATTATGTAGGCCTACTTTCATGATAAATGAAGAAACTGAATTAATAAAACAACATTTTATATTTAAGTGCTTATTAAATTGTTACTAATATTTTAGAAACCCAAAAGGGAGGACTGGTATGATTGGTCGAGGTCTTCTGGGTCGATTTGGACCAAATCATGCAGCGGATCCCATTGTAACCAGGTAATCAGAAATGCATTTTTTTTTTTGGAGTCTATTAATGACTATCATTGTATGTAAGCCTTAATACCAGGAATTAATACAATTTGGGGATTTATCAAGTATCTAACTCAGACTAAAAAATAACATTTATATGTGTAGGTACATTTTTGATGGCGCAGCGTCTGTGTTTGGTACACCCTTTGTTGTTGGTGCAGCATGCATGCACTGTGTTGGTGCAGCATCTGTGTGTTGATACGGCCTTTGTTGTTGGTGCAGCGTATATGTGGTTGGTGCTGTGTCTTTGCTGGTTCAGAGTTTGTGGTTGGTGCAGTGTCGGTAGTTGGTACAACCTTTCTTGTTGGTGCAGCAATAATATGTGATTGGTGCTGAGACTCAGTGGCGTAACGATGGGGCCGGGGGCCCTGCGTATTTCGAAAACTGGGGCCCTTTTTGGGTCCCGGTCACCAATTCTATCGTGGGATTTTAGATGTGCATTGTTATTCTAATTTTTTTAACGACGAATAAATGGTATAATATGGATCCAGAAAATGCCAGAGAGGGACTTTTACAGTTGAAGAGTCTATACCACCTCATACCCACCATGGTTGGGGTTGAGGTAAGAAAATTTGTGAATATGGCACCTTTAGATGGCCGGAAATGGCACTTCACAGACAAAATTATGAAAAGAATTTTCTTTTTATCTCCAGTTAAAAAATATATTGACAAATTTATTGGGGCCCCCGGACCGGCAGCTCCCCCCTCCCCAAACACTCGTTATTCCGCCACTGGATATAATATATGTCCTACAGTCGATTTCAGACACATTATGCCGTTGCCCTTGTGGGGCTGAGATGTATTACTATGGCATGTCTAGAGGGCCGGAAATGACACCCACAGACTTCAAATTGTGAATATAATTTTCTTTTTATCTCCATTTTTTATTTATGTTTTTTTTTGGACAATTTTTTTGGGACAAATTTGGTGGGGTCCCGGGCCGAGAGGGGGCCTCGTCGGGCCGACGGGGCCCTTTTCTTTAATCATTATAACATGATATATGCCCTACAGTCGATTTCAGGGACACATTAAGGTGTTATTTATCAACACAAGTCCTTTTTGGTCAGGGTGCTAGATCGAGGAACCTATGGGTAGGGCCCCTTCGGGGCCCCTAAAATTCGGGGCCCTGCGGACCGCCGCATGAGAGCGCATAGGCGTTACGCCACTGCTGAGGCTGTGACATTGTGCAGCGTGTACGGTTGGTGCGTATGGTATAATGGAAATGTATAGCAATATTTATTTGCTCGGATAACCTTGGAGGCCTAGGTCAGATCATGTGACTGACGAGTGATTGGTCTGGTTGAAGGACTCTTTACTAAACCAGCTAACTGGGGTTTACAAAATCTTCCGCTTCTAAATCCTTAATGTCTATCACAAAGCAGGTTCTGATTTTCTAGGTGACTCGATATGTTGCTGTGTGTTATGCAGCGTTTGTAGCTGGTGTAGCGTGTGTGGCTGGTTCAACGTCTGTTGCTGGTGCACCGTTTGTGGTTGATGCAGTGTCAGTGGTACAGTGTTTGTGGTTTTGATGCGGCATTTGTGGCTGGTGCAACATTTCTATTTTATGCAGGGTCACTGGTTGATGCAGCTTCAGTGCTTAGAGCAGCGTTTGGGTTGATGCAGCGTCTCTGGTGCAGCGTCGTGCTTATTGCAGCATATGTGGTTGGGGCTTTGTCTGTGGCTGGTGCAGCATTTGTGGTTAGTGCAGCATTTGTATGTCGTCAGTGGTTGGTACAGCCTTTGTGGTTGGTGAAGAGTATGTTGTTTGTGTTGCAGCATTTGTGTTTTGTGCTGTGTTGTGCATGTGGTGAGTACAGCGTATGTGGCTGGTTCAGCGTCTGTAGTTGGTGCTTGTGTCTGTGGTTGATGCAGCGTTAGTGGAATTGGTATAGTGTCTGTAATTGATGCATTATTTTTGGCTGCTGCAACATTTGTTGTTGGTGCAGCGTCGGTGGTTGGTACAATGTATGTTGTTAGTGCAGCGCTTGTGGTCAGTGATGTGTCTGTAGTTGGTGCAGCGTTTGTGATTGATGCAACGTGTGTGGTTGGTGCAGCGTATGCTGTTGGTGAAGCGTTTGTGGTTCGTGCTGTGCTGTGGTTGGTGCAGTATTTGTGGTTGATGCAGCTTGAGTGGTTGGTACAGCGTATGTTGTTAGTGTAGCGTTTGTAGTTGGTACAGCCTGTTGTTGGTGCAGCGTTTGTTGTTGGTACAGCCTATGTTGTTGGTGCACGCTTGTGATTGGTGCTGTGCTATGGACTCTCAAGTCTGAGGTGGGGTTCGATTCGTATATAATATTCATATCGCTTGTCTAATGTTAGTAACAATTAATAGGTCTATGACTTCCTAATTTATTATAACATTGAACAAATAGGTGAATGAGTTTCTATTGAACACTTGTTGGTCAATATGACAATCAACGACAAAGAGTATATAATAAAATTGAAAGCGCTTCAAAGTTTTTTGGGGGGTTTACTACTTACTACCGATTTTTTTTTTTTTTTTAGATGGAAGAAGAATCCAGATGGTTCGCCAATGATGGATGGAGACAAGAAAGTACTAGAGTTTATTGCTATTCAACGCAAGGACAATCATCAGTGGGCAATACCTGGGGTACGTTTCATGTTGTAATTAAATTATTATACGACCTGTTAGACAGAAATAATTGTACGAATGTACAAATGAATGTATTGTATTATTTTAAAGCTTGAAATTAATAAGCATAGAAAACAACAGTAACTAATAAAATTTAAGAATAAAGGCGCAAACAGACATTTGAAAATATTCGGTACAATGTTTTTAAACGTCGAAGGCAAACATTTTGGTTTTGCATGGTGGGCACCTGGCAGTTATTCGCATGTTATAGGTCTAATGGCAATACATGGGTCTGTTATTGTTATTGTTGATATGATAATATCCTTTGCATCACCACATGCATTAGGGTATGGTTGAACCAGGTCAGACAGTTAGTGAAACTCTTAGACGTGAATTTTCTGAAGAGGCTCTCGGCCAGATGACAAAATGTACTGAGGAGAAAGCAAATATGGCTGAGAATATTGAAAAACTATTTGAAAATGGCATCGAAGTAAGTGATTGTGTATATGTTATGTAAATTCATTTTTTCAAAGTTCATTACTCCCAATGGTGTATTTCAAGAGGAAACATGTTCAATTCACCCACATCACTAAACGTTTACCAACATGTATGATTTTTATAACATAACAGCCTAAATTTTGCCTAAATTCGAACTTAGTTAAGACCTCTAATATAATATTAGTTTATCAATCATATCCGTATCATGAATGGACCATAATCTCATGGTGGTGCTGATTCCCCGCCACCAATGAAAAATCCTGGAACCGCCCCTGACCGACCTTCATATGGTTAACAATTCAATGTATTTTTTAATAGATATACCGAGGGTACGTTGATGACCCTCGAAATACAGATAATGCGTGGATAGAGACGTACGCTTTGAATTTCCACATTGAATCTGACAGTGCTATCAGAGAATTTAAACTTGAGGTACAAAGTTCAATTTGATCAACACATTTTGAAACTGATGTTCAGCAACAACTTTATTTATTTATTATTCTCATTTTTGTTTCATATTAACATTGATCTTGTTAGTGAATTCTGCATCATCATTTTGATGGGATTATTTATGCAAGTTAGGGGGTGTTGGTTTATTAGATAAGGGTTCGCTTAAAATGAAGAATTTTTTTGCTAATTGGTGCTTCTTTCTTTAATTATTGAATATTATATTTAAAAAATTTTTTTTAGGCTGGTGATGATGCCCAGAGCGTGAGATGGCAAAGAGTGAGTTCAAAAATTCCCCTGTTCGCCAGTCATACGGCAATTTTGCGTAAAGTAGCGGAAAAACATAATGCAGCCTTCTAATCAAATCATAAAATGTCATCAAGAAGTTATCAAAAGATCCTTCCAGCAAGTGGTTATCTATGGATAGGATAAAGGACACACATGGAGTGGGGTGTAAATAGTTTTCTATTTTAGAATGTGTCAGTCGAACTTTTTTTATTATTTATTATGCTTGCATTCTTTAAACCAAGCACAAAATATTATGAAAGTATATTTATATTAAACACGATTTTTATATTAATTATTTGTAATGCTATTGAAGTAATCAGTTACGTCTGTTTAAACAAAATCTTTTATTCTTAAATATATATACCTGGATTAGACATATTCCATCAAATATATATTGATTTATAATTCGAATTCTATGATACATATTATAATCAAATAACTTCATTTACTGTAGCTTCAAGAGTAGTATAATATATAATTGAAAGATACTGATGAGAAACAATCCATATTTTTTGGCTTATAATTGAAATTCGATATTAAGCTAATTATTATACAGTAATAGAATTAATATATTTGTATTATAATATTAATAAGCTTAATATTTAATTATATAGGTTGCATTACAATGATGTTGTGGATGTTAGGTTATGATGTAATGCTTAGTGATAAGCCAATTTTTATAACTATATAATGAACTTATATATTTATCATTCTGGAAACTTATTGTATAACAGAAATTATATATTATGTAAGTATCTAGCAGTCGTTAAACTTTTCAAAATTAAGAATGCAACATTGTCTGCAATTAGGCCATTAAAGTAGTCTTCATTCCTTAATTTATGGATTAATAATGTTAACTTTTATTGGGTACCGATCAACCCAAATATACATGTAAAAGAACTACTACTTTATAAAAGAAAATACATAAACGATTCATGTCAAAATATAATAAAATTATCTCCTTTTGTATGAAAGTACAGTATAACAATGTAAATTACACTTTTAACAATTGATTGTGTATTTGTACTAAACAGTAATAATAATAATAATAATAATATTAATAGTAATAACAATAATACTAAGAATAATTACTATTATTAGTTTTAATCTATTATAATTATTATCATCATATTATTATTACTATTATTATTATTATTATTATTATTATTATTATGAAAGTACAGTATAACAATGTTGAATTACATTTAACAATTGATTGTGTATTTTTACTGAACAGTAATAATAATAATATAATATTAATAATAATAATTATTATTATTATTATTATAGTAGTAGTAGTAGTATAGTAATAACAACAATACTAAGAATAATTACTATTATTAGTTTTAATCTATTATTATTATTATAGAATTATTCCATTATAATTATATTATTCTATTTTAATAATTATTATTTAAGAAGAATAATTATAATAATAATTGCTTAAAAGGAAGCCCATTATAATGATATGCAAAAAAAGTAAACATGTGATCTAATTTATTTAATAAATATGCAATAAAGGTAAAGGTCTTTTCTTGGTATAAGAAGTGTAGAATTACTGCAATTTTAGTTACCAAATCATAATTATATCTATACTTCCAAAGACAAATCTCATTTTTATATAAGACATGCTTTTTTTTATTGTCTGTTTTGGACGTTGTAAAATCGCTTGCTGTTTAGAGCAATGACTAGTTACCGTACTTATAATTGCTCTCTGATTAATGATGGTTACTGGCTACTTATGTACAGTATACTGTACAGAAAAAAGTACAAAGATTATGTATTTGTGTTGAATATTTGTTGTTATTTATAGAAATATATGCTTATGCATGCGAAATATGAGAGTATTGAAAGATTTTCATTTTTGTATCATCTTGGTTTCATTTTAGGAGTTATATTTATTACTTTCTTTCTACATCAATACAATAGAACTCCTCCTTTTGGACATCCTTATTATATGGGACACTTTTCCTTGAAACGAGGGGCAATATGTTTTTTAACACTACAGCCAACCCCTGTTAAGGGGACGGGGATACTTTTTGAGTGTGCAAAATGGTCAAATCAATACATACAGTTTCACTTTTTTATTGTATCAAAACAACTACAGTAGTCACAAAATAAGGGGAAAAAATCATTCAAGTTTATATTTTGACACCTTTTGAGCAATAAACTTAACATCAAACCAGAACTTCTTCCATCCTTAAAATGGGTATTGGATGCCTATCGCATGTGTTACTTCGTATAAATAAAATCTTGTCAATTTTGACCATAACCATATCCTAAATGCTGATGCTACGTCAAAGCTAGTTTATGCCTTATAATCTGTCTTGATTAATGTATGCCTCTACTTCTCAACATATTTTTAGGTGGCCGACCCACTTCCAGAATCCACATTCTGTGGCGTCCCAAGGCATATATTGTCATACCAAAATATATTCTCATATTATGATTACGTAGGCCCAAAAGCTAAAACAAAATCATATTGCTACTTTTTTCTGATATATTGCCTTGTATTGTTTTTTTTTTCTTTTTTTTAAATTTTTGTTTTTGTTTTAAATCTAAATCTATTATGATAGCCATAGCATTTACCTCCTAATTTATAAAATAAAAAAAATTATGTTGTTTTATTTAATCAACCTTGGCTAAGTCGAACACAAGATAGTGGTATCGTATTGATTTTTATTTACTTAGCAAAGTATGCGAGACTTCTGATATTGTGTGCTGAATGTTAAATTTTATAATATGATAATAATAACCTTTAGATTCTTGGTGATAGATAGAACATTGTGACAAAGTTTGGTGAATTTCTGATAAATATTGTTGGCTGTAGGCTGTCATAAATAAAAAAAGTAGGCTTTCATCGATTGTGACCTTGACCCCTCAAAATGTATTCACATTTAGATCTTTGGTCATGAATCACTGTCAACAAGTTTGGCGATTTTCTGATGAAAATTGTTAGCTGTAAGCTTAATATATAAAAAGTAGTTTTCGTCGATTGTGACCTTGAACTTTGACCCAAACCCTTCAAAATTGAATCACTTCCACATCTTTGTTCAAGGAACATTGTGTCTAAGTTTGACGAGTTTCCGATAAAAACTGTGTCCTGACTGTGAACAGACAAACAGACATATAAAAACAGGGACGAAAACGTACCCTCCTGGGCTGAGTTCTACAAACAAACCTGACAGCTCTACGTTGCACAGATTTCAGCTTTTGGGTGAGGTCATTATCTCGAAGGATTGTTGCACCCGCTAATACGAAAACGCCCACAAATGTAATAATGCCCACAAAAGTAACATACAGCGTCAACAAATGTAATAACGATCATCGCCCACAAATGTGATAACACCCACTGTAAAAACAAAACATGACTTCTTCGCCCACAAATGTAATATTTTCTTTTAACTTCGAATGTAGGAGATAAGACTCGAAAATAGCCAAACCGTGCATCATGTGACAGAAGCATGACATTTTGAGCGTTTGAACAAAAACATAGAAAGAGTCATTTTCTAAAGGTCTGGGAGGAGTTAAAGGTCAAATGTTCTAGGTAGAGTATATTATGTGTCAAAGGTTATGTCATAATCTGAAAACTGTCACATCTGGTAAGCTTCTCCGTCAAATTTAAATAATAAACCCTTTTTTGCAGCATGCATAATGAACATAATTATTTAGGCCTATGTACTATCAAAATCAATATATGACTTCAAGTGACCTCTAACGAAATAAAAACATGCATATAAGCCTACTGCATATTTTGAAAGAAAACTTCTACGACCAGCGGTTGTCGAGCTACGCGGATGCCCTACAGTTATTATGTTCCCAACAAATTTGTATAATTAAGCTAACTTGCATAATACGGCCTATGATGCATGTGACGGAAGTATAACTTCTGCAATTCACTTTCGCCAAGTTCTCAAAACGTGTTTAAACACATTTGTTTGTCATTTATTTTCCATAACTATGATTATTGCAAAAAATATGGCGAATAATTTGAAATTTCGAGCAAATTGACAATTTGCACATTTAACGCGTTCTCATCCGATTTTGCAAGAAGCTGCAATAATCCTGCTAATCTTAGTCGGCAGATGGCCAACAAGCTTATAAACCACTAACCACCACCACCAATACTTTCTTCTGCTGTTTGTGTAAATACCCACTGAGCATTCTTGTCATGAGCCATTCTCGACAATTATCTTTTCTGCACAAGAACTATTCTTATCTTCAATTTCCAGATGTCATAATATTTTTTTTTATTCAAAAAGTTCCCCTTAAATTTTCCGGAGTTCTCATAAGCACGCCTTAATCTATTTCCATACTAAGCGCCCCCTCAATTTAAAGTCTGTTTTCATAAGCGCCACATTTGAATAAGCTACCCGTTTGATATAAGCGACCCTCAAAAAGAGCAAAAAAATATTTTAAGCGCCCAGGCGCGTATTCGCGAGAGTACGGAATGTGCTATTCTTTATGGACTTTCTAAAATTATTCGGAAAATTCAGCTTGAGCTGAATGTTGCAAAGAGGTTGGTTTTCTTACTCAGAAGCATCAACATAATTATAACTCCTACTCTTCCTCAACTTCATTGGCTACCTGTAGTGAGTAACGACACTTTGTAAGGATCTTCTTTTCGTGTATAAGTATCTTATTGTTCACCTCTGCATTACATTGATGGCCACCTAAAATTGCGCTCCACTGCATGTAGTCGCATACTCAGGTCCACATCATCCAATTCTACCACTCTTTATTGTCCTGGTTGGTTGGAAAATTATGGTGATATATCCTGTTTAGATTTAAATTATATTTTATTTGGAATCGCCTTATACAAAAGAAAAAAATATATATACAGAAGTGCTGCACCAAAGTTGTGGAACTAAATTTTATAAGGTCATCTTTGGCTCTTTCGTTGACTGGGGATGAAATTTTTTAGGGGGCTCCCGGAACGCCGCTGTGAGCGGCGTGTGCGAAGCACAACTCAGATTCAGTAGTGGAACGTAAAATTTCGATATGGTTCGTAGTCAGATTTGCGAGAAAAACTTCAGCTACCCGTATTTCTCGACCGAGACGTCAGTGGGAGCTGTAATTTGTATGGCAAGGAGATGGTGCTACCCTTAATTCGTATTATGGAATTTACGCCCACAAACCTTGTAGTTATTAATTAGTAGTAGTTTTCTTGGGAAAGCTGTTTCGTACTATACCATGACGTACGTACATTCCATGTTCAGCCGTTAACCTTATGTGGAGACATAGAACTTAATCCAGGGCCTCAGCCAAACGTTGCTAAAGATAGTAGGCCCCTAAGCAGAAGGACGCACTAACAGTATATTACCAAAATGTTAGAAGTGTTTAAAACAAGATGGAGACATATAAATCTCAACTATTATACAGCCATATGTTCACTAAATATTTAGACATGATAGCCCTCACTGAGACATGGCTTAATGACTCAGTTGAAGATAGTGAGCTCTCTATATCTAACTATAATCTCTACCGTAAAGATCGAAATAATAATAAAAGAGGTGGAGGAGTTCTACTTTTGGTCAGCAACAAGTTTAAGTCCTGTCGATTAAAGCATCTTGAAACCAACCATCAAGAATTGATGTGGGTTAAATTGACACTCTCACGTAAAAAGTTCTTAATGGTTGGTCTTTATTATAGGCCACCGTCTGCGACAAAGGATCAACTTGCCCAATCGATTAACAATGTGCAATATGAATTTCAAAGTTTTAACCATGATATATTATTGATTGGTGATTTTAATTTACCAGAAATTACTTGGTTCAATAATACTAATAAACATTATGTAAATAATAATGTAATTTGTAATGCTCCTGATAATTCTAATGGTTTTTTTTTATTGATAACGTTTTTAATGGTAATAATTTTAAACAATTTGTAAATTTCCCGGCTTGTGCTGGTCACACTCTTGATTTAGTTCTATGCAATAAGACATGTAGTGATATTTCATTTGGTAACGATATTTTTCTTTCAGATCACTGTGCAATTACTTTTAATTATCCTATTGATTTTCTCTCTCCTAAAATTAATTATGACTCCCGTCCACTTTATAACTTTAAGAAACTTAATCAAGTTGATTTTGTTGAGACACTCTCATGCATTCCATGGAACATCCTTGAGTTGACAGATAATATTAATGAAGCTACAGCATTATTTTATGATCTAGTTTTTGCCACTGTTAAAGACTTAGTTCCTACTTTCAAACTAAAAAGAAAATTACCCCCTTGGTTTGATAATGAGTTGTATTGTGCCCTTAAGCTTAAGGAGTCTTATTTTAAAGATAAAAAGAGGAATTGTAATCGTCTGAATATTGAGAATGTTCGCTTTGCCAGAACTAATTTCAAGAAGTTGTGTAATTTTAAGTATCGCACTTATGTTGAATCTTTGTGTTGTGATGTTGTTAATAATCCCAAGCGTTTTTGGTCTTGGCTCAAGTCTTCGCAAAAATCCGCAGGACTTCCATCAGAAATTCATTTTGATGGTGCCTCTGCGAGTTTGCCAAAAGACAAAGCTAACTTATTTAATCGTTTTTTTTCAATCTGTTTACAGCTGCAACAATGGTGCTCACGACCATCCAGATCTTCCTGAATATCCTGTTGATAGTTTCAATCATATTAATATTGATCAAATCAAAATTGAAAAACTATTAAGCCAAATTAACCAGCACAAGGCCTCTGGCTGTGATGGCATCAGTAACGTTATGTTATCTATTGCTGCCAAACCACATTCATTGCCCTGTAAAAAGTTATTTGAAAGATCTATTGCTGAAAATTGTTATCTGTACACTTGGAAAAAGGCCGGTGTCTGTCCTATTCACAAAGGAGACTCCAAATCAGATAGACCCATTTCTATATTACCTTCATCATCAAACATTTTTGAAAGAATCATACATGATCAAATCTTTAGCCATGTCCGTTCTGTAATTACTGATAAACAACACGGTTTTTTCCCTGGCAGATCATGTGAAACAAACCTTTCGGTCTTTTTGTCACATGTTTATTCTGCTATAGATTCCAAGACTCAGTGTGAAGTTATCTATACGGACATGGCTAAAGCATTTGATCGAGTCCCACATAATTTTCTACTTTACAAACTTAGTAAGTTTGGTTTTCTGATAATATTTTAGCTTTTTTCTATAATTATTTATATGCTAGACAACAGAAAGTTACAATCGATGGTTGTTCATCTGAATGGCTAACTGTATTGTCAGGGGTCCCCCAGGGGTCTATTTTGGGACCACTTTTTTCACTTTGTTCATCAATGATTTTTCTTTTGTTCCAAATGATTCTAATTTTTTATTATATGCTGATGATATTAAACTTTTTAGGGTCATTTCTACTGTTAATGATATGGTTCTCCTTCAGACAGATCTGGATGGTCTAGTTCGCTGGTGTTGCAGCTGGGGTATGTCTGTTAATGTCTCTAAATGTAGAACTATGTCTGTTACTCTAAAGAAAAATCCTATCCAATTTGATTTTAAAATTAATAATATTATTCTTGAAAAAGTTTCCGTTCAAAAAAATTTAGGAATATTTGTTGATTCTTCTTTAAATTTTTGTAAACATGTAGATTATGTTGTAGCTAAGAGTAACAGACTCCTTGGATTCATTTGGAGACATTGCAGACATATCGATGATGGTAATGCTTTAATTACTTTGTATAAATCTTTAGTTAGATCTAATCTTGAGTTTTGCTCTATTATTTTTAATTCAATTTCAACTGCACAATCTGTTAGGTTGCAACGTATTCAAATAAATTCTGTATTCTATTTTCGTAAATTTGGTAAAAGTAATAAGTTGGCTTTGGTTGAAGAGAGAAGGAATATTTTTGATCTTATTTTTCTCTACAAATGCATAAATGCCAGTTTAGACGGTGATTTCACTTCTTTTTTTCAAATACTAGTTCCTTTGCATAGATTAAGATCCCCTGGATTATTTTAGGTAGGGTTAACGTTACAAAAATGGTTTTATTTGTCGTCTTCCTAAGTTATATAATTCTATATGTTTCAATCCTTCCTTAGATATATGTTTTGATAGTCTTAACTGCTTCCATCAAAAAATTACTACTATTTTTACTTCTATTACTAAGTGAATTTCTTATATTTTTAATTATTTTTAGACCTATATTTGAATTTAATGTTATATTACATATATAAATTTTTTAAGTATCAATTTTCATGTATCAATCCTGTTATGTTGGATGATGTTGAAATAAATATAAAAAAATAAAAAATAAAATAATATTTTGGTTATGAAAATTTTTTGGTGACGTCACTCACAATATAGTTAGCATGCATACGTCATAAGCTATATTACATCACCTTTTCCTGGTAAGGCAAACTTTCCCGGCGTGCTTTTTTGATTGATAAACAAACACCACTGCTTTGCACATGGATGCTTTGCCTAGCTAGGGCTACAAGAGCCGCATTGTTTAAGCATTATATAATACTTAAACAGGGTACGTCTGCAACTGAATTATTTTTAGTTATTATGTTTTTCTTATTTTAATTTATTTCTTTCGAAAGTGTGCTTTCTATCACATATAATTGCACTGTCTACTTAGGCCTAGGTAGTCTTATGCTTCATCGTCCCCCGCTATACACAATACATCAGTAGGCTAGCTCCCCGCCCCCCTCCCCCACGCTACAGTACAGACGTTTGCTAGGCAACAGAACGTGATAGCACATTCCTTCCCAGGTGTTTATGTAACATTTGGATATTGTTAGCTAACCAGTTGTGTGTATTCCTTTGTGAAAATGAGTACCGCAGCGTACTCATTTTCACAAAGTATATGCATCCCCTCTTGGAAAGAGGAACTTCGAAATATTGTCTCCATATCTTCGCTAATTAATCACCGTAATTTATACGCATGGAGGGAGCACTTAAACGTACAATAATCATTCACTACCCTACAAACCCCGAACTTTATTCATACATTACATAAATAGTTTCATCTTGCTATATATATATATATATTGGTTAATAGAAAATTTCTATTTTTGGTGACGTCACTCACAATATAGTTAGCATGCATACGTCATAAGCTAGATTACGTCACCTTTTCCTGGTAAGGCAAACTTTCCCGGCATGCTTTTTTGATTGATTTTTGATTGCCACTGTACCAAAATCTAAACATACTTGCTGACGTACACTCCAACATCACTGGCGCATGGTAACAACCAACTGACTGCAGACCATTTCCGGTCACACATCACTCTCCATAACGCAGCACCCACTAGTTCCGTCACCTCTGGATCCAGGAAATGTCACATATTATTAGTATAGGAAAAACTCTTTACACAAGAATTATTTTTCCAGCAAGATGAATATAAACTCCCTAATGCTCTATGCTTCAGACTGCAATACGCTCTAAAAATAAGGTGTGAGCTAGTACTGTGCTACCAAACAGGAAAGATAGTTGTAATTGATACTGTATTATTATTATTATCATTATTATTATCAATATCATTTGAAAATGAGCTCAAGTTCTAGACTATTTTGTACCAAAACAATGGCTTATCTAAGAGGTGCATGGAAACGCATGCCCCCCCCCCCCTTATTAGTCCTTGACCCACCTTTCAATACTCCTAGATAATGTATGCCACTGTACCAAAATCTAAACATACTTGCAATTTAGAAGGCTAAAATGTCTAAACAGAAAAACAAATGAAAACAATGATAAAAATTGCACGTATTTTACAGTTTATTTTTCACATAATATCTACAAAAGTTGTTTTTATTATTAATATTATTATTATTATTATTATTATAGAAGTACGAAATAATTTCTGTGCTAAAAATGATACAATTTTGTTTTTAAAATCTATATGAAAATATTTGTCTACCTATATCTTCTAAATGAATTATGTGAAAAATCCATCTTTGGTTGCAATCAGATACATTGGAAGATCCTTGATGGGAAGTTTTAATAGTACATAAACATGATTCTTGATTATCTTCTTGATTAAACAATAGAGGGCAGTATGCCTTCAACACAACATCTGTTTCTTGGTAATCAAAACAAGGAAAACTCCCGATTGGTCATTGCCATTTCATTTACAAATCTGCAATGTAACAAATAAAAAGAGATAAATTATAAGAGACCTAAAATATTGACTAATTCAGTGATCATCATCACCTTCATCAATCATCACCATCTTCCTAAAAAATGGTGATGTTGTCATAGTCATATTTTTATTAGACTGGGTTTCCATGGTCTTTAGCAGCTTTGGTTTCTAATTATAGAATAATAAAAATATAAGACATTGTGAATCTGGGACCACTGAAAAGTTGTGTAACTCTGCTTTAAAGACAAGGCAGATGATTATGACTAAACACTAGCTTTTAAGCACACAGTACTCTTCAGAAGAGCACTGTGTAATTACTACTATTACTATTACTAGTACTATTTCCAGGGTTTTATTTCTAATCAACAGACAAGTACGGCTCATCTATTTATTTTTAAAACCTCTTATATCTGTTTGGGGGTGGGGGATTAAAAGTCAATTTTATTGTAATTTATTATTTAATTTCAATTAGATTTCAATAGAAGATTTGAAAAATAAAATATCCACTTGCCAATAAACATAAATAATACTGTTTTTATATAATTACTCTTTGCATAGAATAAATCCTGATTGGTTAATAATAATACTAATTGAATGTTTTTTTATTATTTTTAAAAGGTTTTTCTCTAGACTTGACAAAGTTGTACAGACAGCATCTGTACAGAACTGTTTCTTTGTTCCATGTTGATAAGTAACTCAGAGGCATAACTACGCTTTTTAGCACTCAGGGCAAGAATGGTATGGAACCTTTTTTTAGAGCACTGAAATTCTTTCATCAATATCTAATAGGCTACATAGAATTTATTCCACACTCATTTTGGCCCCTCCCCCTTTAGTTCAATACCTCGGGCACATTTTTAAAGAGAAAGTAAAAAAAATGTTTATTCATTTATCATATAAAAAATGTTATAAAAAAACACACCTTGTCATCTCACTGTTGACGTGCCTATGTCGTGGAACATGTGTCCAGGGTTCTCTCTTTTCTATGCCGTCCTTTCGGTCCCACCAACCATGCTGTTCAATTGATGTTAGAGGATTTCTGTAAAGTTCATTTGGTGCTATGGAAAGAAAAAGGATACAAAATTAAAAAGATGCTGTAATGAGGCGATAATCTTATAATTATGCCACACCACTATATATAATTATTATGACAATGCAAGTTCTGGATCAAAACAAAATGGATAAAGACTATGTGTCTAGAGGTATATTTTCTATATGCAGGCCTATAGAATTTAAGCAATTAGAATAATTTAAGCAATAAAAATATTTTAGGCATATCAATACAAAACCAGATGAAACTATTTGATCAATTAAAAACAGAGTAGAATTGAGAGAAACACCTCTCTAGAATCTGGCCATTTATTTATTGGCATTTATGTTACACCAGTTTTACTTTAAATCTATTCCTAATTTTTATTGTCATTGACTGTTGTGATTGTATTATCATTATCAATTATGCTTGTATAGCACTTACCGTTAGAGGCTCTATTCACTTTTCAAAAAATCAAAAAATCAAAAAGAGGCGGATAAAGAAAAACTAATCAATATGTTGGTCAAAGAGGAACAACTTAATAAGACGGTACTTGGACTTGAAGGAACTGACCGATGTATGGATTGGTTGGATTAGGACAATAACAAAAATCCAATCAGAATTCTAAATCTGAATAAATACAGAGTACCCCACTGGGTTATATGCATCAGCGTGCATCATTGATATGCAAGCTAGTAGGCCCGGCTAGGCCTAGTTGTTATTTATACAACCGTGATTTTATTAATTTAAATATATTGTACTAGGACCTAAAAGGCATTTGGTTTGGTGCTTCTAAGTAATGTTGCTTTCCTAATCCTAGGCCCTATGCTAGTGTGTACGCAGAAACACACTGGCAAGTTGATGCATCGTCTACTGTTTATTATTTAGTATTATTTCTTGGCTGTTGTATATGTAATTATGTGTCTGCGTAGGCCCTGATTTCAGTGTTTATTTTTAGTTATAATTATTGGTTATGTCGAATTATGTGACTGTAAGTCACCTTGGGTCCTAGGTACAGCATAAAAAGTAAAACATATTTAAATGAAATACAACAATTTACATTATAAACAATATATAATATAAAATAAAAGCTTAAAATGATTTAGTGTATCTAAAATGAATTAAACATACAGTATATTAACTTATTTTTGCATTACTGTATCATTTCATTTATAATGGACAGGTCTATTAATAATCAAAAATTTTATAATTGAAATTAATAAAGTGACAGAGACACAATAAATACACATTAACCGATAAATAATACTGAAATAATACACTACAACTTTGGCTTATGCACTTGTTAATTGCAGTCCCAGCCCCCCCCCCGGACCCTGAACTGGGGATGTACACATAGTTGTGTCCAAGTAGTGCCAGGACGTACCTAAAATTTGGCCGTAGATTAACACTGAACAGGGCTCAGAGGGCCTGGGAATTTTACACGTTAGAGTAGCCACAGTTTCGGGTGTGTAAGGTGGTAATGCACTTGTCAATTGCAGTCCCGGCCTCCCCGGACCCGGGCCTAGCGGGGACTTAGCTGAGGATGTAATTTCCAAAATGGTTACATGCATGTGAAAGTCCCTGCCACCTCCCAGCAATGCGGACTTTCACATGCATGTAAGCATTTTCGAAATTACATCCCAGGCTAAAAAAAGTCCCGCTAGGCCCGAATCAAGGGGGTGCCGGGACTACAATTGACAAGACAAGTGCATTATACACAGATACATAATTACAGACATAATAATCAATAAATAATACCTAAATAATAAACTAAAATAGGCCTACACAGACACATAATTATTGTAGGCATAGGCCTAGCCTAGGCCTATAAATACTTATTTTTGCATTACCGACCGTATCATTTCATTTATAATTATTGATAGGTCTACTTAAGTGCGTAAATAAATACACATTTATTAAACTTAGACACAACACCTTCTCTAGCTGTAGGACAGGCCCACTGACGTGCCGCTGCCCCGGTGATTGGTTGTAAAAACCTCTATGCTACACATATTCTGTACTGTACCATTTTCTGTCCGCGTGTGCTTATTTAATCGTCTTGTGTATTCCACGTATGACCCTTTGTGCTCTGGGTACTCGCCGGGCTGAACAACTTTATTGTGCTGGTGCATATTGATTGGTGGTAAATGCGAAGTCGGTGGCCTAAAAGACACGTAAGCATTTTCTGGAATTTTATGGACGAGATTGTAAGAGTATTCTGGATTTGGTTGAAGAACTTGAGCTCTTATTGGATCTTGGTAGCCCAAAGCAGTCAGATTAAAGAAAGACATCGTGGGAAAACACAAAAGATAAACGACGTTTTGTTGATAAACGGTCTTTATCCTCTGGGAGTGTTTACGCGTCTATCGTTTCCCAGGGTAACTTATAATGACCTTTGACAACTAGTACAAGATGTATTTCTGGTTACGGTTTTCTCTCAAAAAAATAAATACATAAAATACACCAGTGCATTTTTAAAAAATTATTTAGTTATTTTAAATTTAATTTCTTAGGATTACAAGTTTTAACATCAAAATGAACAAAATACAGTATGTAGAACAGAAATATTGAAATAACAAAATGACGCTACAAGCATCACCGCACATGCTCAAATGGCACACATACTGTACGCACATTTTTTGCAACACAGTGTGTGTGGTATGGCTTCGTGTTGGGGACGTTTCTAGAAGGAATTGTACGGCGATTTGGGTTTGGTGTTGGTTGATACGGAACGTAGCCTGAACGAACCCACTTGAACAAATCCTTTGAAATCTTATAACATCTTATCTTCGTTGCTCAATAATTTAACACATATATAAAGAAAATGAGTGGATCTATGGGTTCGCTAGCGTTTGATGAATATGGAAGGCCGTTTATTATCATCAAAGATCAAGAATCTAAGACACGATTATGTGGAATAGAGGCACACAAGGTGATCTTTTCTCTTACTCTTTATCTAATAAAATTGCGCATCCTTCTTTATTGCCTGTTTATGGCCAGACCCTGGGTAGCAAGGGCCCCTATTATTAAGCACTACAGATAGGGCTAGCCTAGGCCTACTACCCTAGGACTGTGTCTACTCTACGCTGCTTGCCTAGGCTAGGAACTAGTTTTAGGCGTAGGCCTGTCCTAGGCCTAGCGGTAGCAGGTCAACCAAAACAGCAACAATATGGCGAAGGAGCGAAAACATTGACAATGCTATGGCTAGCAAGCGCCACCGGGCGGGCCGCCGCCGTGTATAGTTTTCTAGGCCTAAATCGTTTTAATATTTTCCCGATAGATACTCAAATCGAATATTGCAATCAGCTCATTTTCCCAGTAGTTTTAATTTTTAAATGTTTTATCGCAGATTTTTTTTCTCTTGTACCCCAGTCAGACCAGCTTCGCATTGCGATTAGTTTTAGCAATTGCAACACCCAATGAATGGCAAAGTAAAATCCTGTCTGAAAGCTCACCAATAGTAGTCGATAAGTAATCGATTTCGCTAGAGAGTCAGTGGCGTAGATAGAAAAGTATTTTTCATTGGGGGGATGAAAAATTACTGATGTCGTTCACACCCTTCAGTGTGATGAAAATGTGGCTTGCTTTGCAAGCACATCTAATATCTAAGGAAAGAAGAGCTTAGATTGGTACCAGATAAAATAATTTTGTTATCAACATTAATACATTATGCTAATTTTCATCTTTGTAAGCGCACAAGACATTGCAAATTATTTCTGTGACAGTCTTTTGAAGTGTGTAAAGCTCCATTTTATCCCATACAGTCAAAATATTGGGGGGATATATCCCCCATCCCCGTGATCTATGGCTATGGCTAGAGTACAGTAGGAGCACACAAAAAATTATATTCTTCAACTGACTTCAAATAAAGTTCCTTATATAGAGAGAACACACTGATGTAAGTAATCTACAGTACAGTTATTATAGATGACAAAAATTGGTTGAATATTTACAGAGTTAATATGCTAAATTTAATAAAATAAAATTTTTTTCCGATATATGCACGTTGGCTTGTCTTGAATTTGTGACCATATGTATTGCATGCACTGTGCATACAGCCCAGCTAATTCGAAACAACAACGCTAAGTTTTTTGAAGGTGAGAATTCCATTCCGAATCGGAAATTATTGGAGAACATTGTCCAAGTGTTTTTTGTTTTTGTTGTAATAACCAATCAGAGTCCAGGAAAAGACCCCCCCCCCTCGTTTTTTTCCGATATGGCAACACTTACCTTTTCGGGATTTTGACCAGCGGCCTCTCACACGGATGTGCTTCTAGCTAGCATGGTCTTTCAAAGCATGGAGGTATTAATGAGAAGGAGATCACTCGGCAAAGCTACACGCACGCAGCGCTATGCAAATGAACCAAGATCAAAGTTGCCGCAGCGCGTAAAGAACGTTTGCGCGATGCCTTTGAAGTCCCTTGTGTTCCCCGCCATCAAATTTTCAACAGGCATAGTTGACCAAAAAATTGAACATGACGAA